AAACAAAAACAATACTCTGATAATTTTGTTTGCATTTGACTGCAGGTATTGTGGTTAATGTAAGCATGATTCCTTGCAAAAGGTGTCAGTTTTGTTGCCAGAAAAAAGGGGAAAACCCCTATTAGTATATTTTGGTACTGGCAAAGGAGATCCCATGATGTAAACCCAACCCTCTTTTGTATTGACAAATTGTCAACTTTGCACCTTAACGTTTGTTCTGAAATATATTTCGGGAAATGATTGCGGGGGGGGGGGTTGACAATCACTGTCAGATTACACAAAATAAACGAAATCGATCGTAGGGAAGTATATTTGAAAAAACCTCGCAAGAACTCAATATTCAACGAGCGCGGACTCGCCTGAATTACATACAGGCTGCCGATAATCACCACGCAGGCCGCAATCTAAACACGTGTTGACGCACGATTTAAAACTTCATCCCTCTTGGGAACGTGTTACAGCCTCCTCCTCGCCTCGTTACAATGAAAAACAATGTGAGGATTTTGCACTTAAATAGCTTTAATGTTACACTTAAAAAAGCGACGGTCTACGAGTCTAGGCTATTACTAACTCTAAACACAAGACAGGCCTCGTAACTGTTTGACAAAAATTCCACTGAATGAGCTGGCAACTCACCTTGAGGAGGTGGAATCCACCTTGACGAGCTGCTAAGCCACATGGTCGAGCTGGTGATCCACCTTGAGGAGCTGCTAAGCCACATGGTCGAGCTGGTGATCCACCTTGAGGAGCTGCTAAGCCACATGGTCGAGCTGGTGATCCACCTTGAGGAGCTGCTAAGCCACATGGTCGAGCTGGTGATCCACCTTGAGGAGCTGCTAAGCCACATGGTCGAGCTGGTGATCCACCTTGAGGAGCTGCTAAGCCACATGGAGCAGCTGTGATCGGTAGTTGAAGACGAATTCAACGACGCCACAAGAACCACGCGTCCTCCACACGGTGACCAGCCAAGATGGCGCCCTGCGTGGGGAATCCCCGCCCCGCCCCGCCCCGCCCCGCCCCGCCCCGCCCCGCCCCGCCCCGCCCCGCCCCGCCCCGCCCCGCCCCGCCCCGCCCCGCCCCGCCCCGCCCCGCCCCGCCCCGCCCCGCCCCCCACGTGACGCCTCGCTCCGCACGCGCCTTCCCATCAATCATCCTCTAGCCGCCTGTGTGTCACGACTCTCGTTCACCACCTGCCCTCTATTGCTCGCTGCGCCCTCTACAGTGCCACTTCCTTAATTATCTCTTCCCCTTTCTAATTTCTCTCAGCACCTGTGTTCTTCACATTAAAAAAATAGTAACTCCATGTAACGTGTATTTTTTTATTCAATCTCCGACACTTCCATGTATGAAAATGAAAGTATGTTCCAAATACAAATCCACACCGTGAAAGCAATCGCCACCAAACTTGTCTGGTATTCAATTCGTGGTTACGTCTGCCATCTTGGTGGACATGTGCAGTACAGGCCAACACAGTTCGCCAGCAGTTGCCGCTGTCAGGCGTCACCCCGCGCGTTCCCCGCAGTTGTGAGTCGCTGCTGCTGCTGCGGCGTCCTGGCGTTAGTCCCAAGCGGGTTGGCTGCGATGAAGCCGTGAAGACGCCGCACAGCGCCACTGCTGCTGTCACCGCGCCAGGCGCTGCAGTTGTACCACGTGACCACACGGTGGCGCTACAGCACCATGTTGGTTAAGGTATTTCAGCGAGTGTCCATGTTGGTTAGGTCATTTAGCGAGTGTCCATGTTGGTTAGGTTATTTAGCGAGTGTCCATGTTGGTTAGGTTATTTAGCGAGTGTCCATGTTGGTTAGGTTATTTAGCGAGTGTCCATGTTGGTTAGGTTATTTAGCGAGTGTCCATGATGGTTAGGTTACTTAGTGAGTGTCCATGTTGGTTAGGTTATTTAGCGAGTGTCCATGTTGGTTAGGTTATTTAGCGAGTGTCCATGTTGGTTAGGTTATTTAGTGAGTGTCCATGTTGGTTAGGTCATTTAGCGAGTGTCCATGTTGGTTAGGTTATTTAGCGAGTGTCCATGTTGGTTAGGTTATTTAGCGAGTGTCCATGTTGGTTAGGTTATTTAGCGAGTGTCCATGATGGTTAGGTTTACTTAGTGAGTGTCCATGTTGGTTAGGTTATTTAGCGAGTGTCCATGTTGGTTAGGTTATTTAGCGAGTGTCCATGTTGGTTAGGTTATTTAGCGAGTGTCCATGTTGGTTAGGTCATTTAGCGAGTGTCCATGTTGGTTAGGTTATTTAGCGAGTGTCCATGTTGGTTAGGTTATTTAGCGAGTGTCCATGTTGGTTAGGTTATTTAGCGAGTGTCCATGTTGGTTAGGTTATTTAGCGAGTGTCCATGTTGGTTAGATTATTTAGCGAGTGTCCATGTTGGTTAGGTCATTTAGCGAGTGTCCATGTTGGTTAGGTTATTTAGCGAGTGTCCATGTTGGTTAGGTTATTTAGCGAGTGTCCATGATGGTTAGGTTATTTAGCGAGTGTCCATGATGGTTAGGTTATTTAGCGAGTGTCCATGTTGGTTAAGTTATTTTAGCGAGTGTCCATGTTGGTTAGTATATTTAGCGAGTGTCCATGTTGGTGTGTATGTTGAACTTCTTTCACACCGTACATAGCCAACCATGCTCATCGGAGGTGCGGGGGAAGAACAACAAACTAATCACAAAAAGCAATTCTAAAGAATATTGATTTTCAATCTAGATTTTATAAATGCGTAGCTCTAGTGACTTCCTAATATCGGAAGGAAAAACATTCCAAACGGCTGCAGAAGTGCATCTGAAAGCGTGCAATGCAGAGACCGTCTTTATTCGATGACTATCAAAAAGCTGCTGGGAGGATGACCAGAGTTTGGGTGATGGTTTATGGTCTTTGATGATATCAGCAAGCGCTTTGTATGTAATGAGTGCAACCTTATGATGTATGAGTTCAGCAACAAGAAGCCAATGCAGTTCGATGAGCACTGGACAGACATGGTCGGATTTTGCAGTACCCGTCATGACGCCTGCCAAATAATTGTGTACACGCTGCAGCTTGGCAATGTTTTTGCCAGATGTGCCGGAGAGTAGTGAGTCGGAAAAATCGAGCCCTAACCCTAAACCCTAACCTTAACCCCTAACCCCTGACCATTACCTTAACCCATAACCATAACAACTTAACCATAACCCCTAACCGTAACCCCTAACCCTAACTAACCCTAACGCTACCCCTAACCACTAACCTCAACCCCTAACTCTAACCGCTAACCCTAAGCCAAAACCTAACCCTTAACCCTAATCGTAACCCCAACCCCTAAACCTAACCCCTAAACGTAACCTTAGACCCTAACCCCTAACCCAAACCCTAACTCCTAACCCCTAACCCTAACCGCTAACCCTAACCACAACCCTAACCCTACACCCTAAACCTAACCCCTAATCCTAACCCTATCCCCTAACCATAACCCTAACCCCTAATCCTAACCCAACCCCTAAACCAAAACTAACCCTAACCATAACCCCTAACCCAAACCCTAACCCAACCCTAACCCCTAACCATAACTAACCCTAACCACCTAATTCTAGACCCTAACCCTAACCCCTAACCGTAAACCCTAACTCTAACCCTAACCCCAAACCATAACTAACCCTAACCACCTAATTCTAGACCCTAACCCTAACCCCTAACCGTAAACCCTAACTCTAACCCTAACCCCTAACCATAACTAACCCTAACCCCTAACCTGCTGGAACAGTCATATTGCATCTCCGGACGGTGCATATATGACAACATCGGTACGGTCAGAGACATACTCTCCCTTGCAGAAGCGCACAACATGGATTTGGGCCTCTTCTTCTTAGATCAGGAGAAGGTCTTTGACAGGGTGAGCCACGAGTACCTGGACAGAGTTCTAACGTCGCTCGGCATCGGCCAGGCCTTCATCTCGCACATTAGGCTCCTGTACACGGGCACATC